TTCTCTGCGTAACTTTTAAAAATATTCCAAATAACGCCAGAGACCTAAAATTCTGCTGACACTTCAAAAAACCACTTCTCCCAAGGCTGAATGTGTCCATTGTTGTTCCAATTCATTATCCACGTGGGAGTCGTTGCCTTGCATTGTCTTGCAGGGCGCCGCGAACTCTGCGGAGCTGTGACCAGATGCAGCATGCAGGGCACTTTGGGAGCCTTTGTGAACAACTATTTTGCTGGGGCGACACAGAGGCTGTGGCATGGTTCCTGTCAGTATTGAAATGGCCAGTGTGGATGCCTTCAACATACAGAGCCGTCAAACTACAGCTTCGATCCAATCCCTTTTAGTAGTCCACGGTTCTTTTAGCTATGGTTAGTTTTGTTAAATATATTTATTAGCACCAATAGAATTATTACCATTGTATATTAATTCTACTAAAAGCAGAACAGGCAGGAAAACAGCTAGCCAAACACTTATTTAAAATCAAAAGCACCAAGAACAAGAAAGTGAAATGATTGCAAAACAAAAGTGGAACTAGAGTCAGTGTCCTCTGTGAGAGTGGAAGCACTACAAATAAACTGAGTATTCATCATTCTATCTCTTTGAAAATAATTTGTTGGTGTAAGGGTGCTTTTGTCCTTGTTTTACAAACGTTGAGACCAGTTTCCTAGTTTGCTTTTGGCTGTGGTTTAAGTAACATAGAGTTGGATGCATTCCAGGGCTTCTGACATACTGAAGAATACTGGTGGGCTGGAGAAGTGCTGGAGGGAAGGGGCAGCACCTTATTTGTGAATGTAGAGGCAGTGGTTCATGGAAATCAGACTTCACCCCTTGCGAGTCTCAACTGCATGTCCCAGTCTGTTATGACAAGTTCTGAGGAAGCCTCTGGCCAGCCCTGAAAACATGTGGGTTCAGAGTCTGCACATGACTGCTTTTAGCCCCGTGCCAAGTGCTGTTCAGTCAAAGCAGGGAATTGACACAGTACTTTTTATTAATAATATCATTCTTCTACACACGTATCAAAGGTGGATCTAATTAACAAGTTGCTGTGGCATAGTACCTTTAATAGAATTACACTGCTCATTACCGTTATGTTTTTTAAGCAAGCTTTCTTATTTTTCATCAAGGAACACTGCATTTAATTTCACATGCCCTTAATGGTGTAGAGGTCTCTGGATCTTGCTCTGGGCCTGCCAGTGACCTTAACAGATGCAGGAACAAAACTCTTCACAAAATGCCATTTTACAATTGCATTAAAGCTTAAAAGGGGAGAGAATTTGCATTTGAGATATGTATGAATGGTAGCATTTTACAGTGAAGGCCAAAGATCAGAAACTGCAGAGGAGAATGTGCTCCTCCATAAATCTTGGACAATTTTTTTAAAAAAATGCTAAACAGAAGAGGCTCATGGATGAAAGAGGGCACATCTACTCTAATGAAAGCAATAGATTCTGAACATAAACATTTCTAGAAAAATGGATCATATGAAATCTGACAGTGCTGCAAAACAAAAAGCTGTTGTCCTTAGCTCAGTTGTCTAAGACAGAAATAACTGAAAAATTTATTCAGAGACCTCTTGCTCTGAGAGAAATACATACATAGAAAGGGAGAATATTCTTCTACAAATCTTCATAGGAAAACAAGTAATTGACTAGGGCTTACTCGGAAAACTGATAAACTCATCACATATATGTTTAAGACCCACCTCTCCCTGGTCTTACAGACCCAGGTTTTCTGTATGACAAAAAGAATTTCAGGCAATTAATGTATTTAAAATATTTATTTAAAACTATAAAATGTATTTCATTCAGTGTTCAAAGCCAGGTTGGATGAAGCCTTGACCAACCTGGTCTAGTGGAAGGTGTTCCTGCCCATGGCAGTGGGGGTTGGGACTAGATGATCTTTAAGGCCCATTCCAACCCCTTAACATTCTAAAACTCTATGATTCATAATGTCTGCCAGTGCCAGATGCAAAGGTAGGCATAAGCTTAAGTCCCAAACTTAACCAGTGTTCAAAACTCTGATTTTCAAGGTATATTTTAATATAAGACTGTCATACAGTGCTAGAAGCTTTAAAACAGTGCTGAGAAGTACTGGATTGAAAGCCAGCGTTGATCCGCTGAAGGAAGGAGTCCCGAGTTCTTCCTGAGCAAAATCAGATTTTTAGTTCAGTGCATTTTGAACAATGTTTTTAAAAATATATTTGCGATATTGTTTGATGTGGAAATTCTAAGCTCCAGGATATTTTGCTATCAGCCTCAGTTGTGTTTTAGGTTTTACTATCTTGTACTTAATGGAAATAGCACTCTTGTGCTCATCTTCAATTCCAAGTAGTTTATTCTGTGCTCTGATCTTCTAGATAAGGTTTCAGATGTCCTACAAAGACACAACAGTACTGATGCTTGTTGGAAATCACTGGAGAATTGTTCTTGTAGAGCACAAATAAAAACCTTGTATGCCAGTGTCATATGTCAATAATTGGGGGTTTGTTTGAGAAATTCACTGTTTTAACTCCTGCCAGCTGCAAGACTGTATTAATGGGAACATGATCCAGCCTGTTTTTATCAAGATGCAAAAAATGAACTTCATTGCCTGGAAAGGAATGAGAATAAGATGTAAATTATTGAATAAATTATTTATTTATTCAAAGGCATAAGTGAATCAAAGCAGCATTCTGACTTCCTACTAGTTCTTCACCAAATGTGTACTAGTTTTACAGATTGCACAATACACTGCATTTTAAACAATGACTAAGTTGTGGGGGGTTTTAAATTATGTGAAAAAAAGCAAGAAACATTTAGGCACCTAACTAAATTAAATCTGCTGTAGCATGATGTTGCCTAATAATACGATGACTTTGTCATGTTGCGGCCCCCCCTTTAAGCACTGCTCCTTTACTAAAACCTCATTAAATGCCTTGAATCAAATGTGAAAATAGAATGCAGGTGAACGCTAAGATGGCAAAAAACCCTCCAAATATCAAGGCAGTTGTTCCATCAGCATTTCAACCAATTTCTGCAGGACTGTGATCAGCTTTGTGCCACCTCTGTGGGAGGTGAGACCCACAATGACACTACAGATTCCTTCATCCAACAAAAACCACACAGTTCAACATAAGACTGTTTCCTTGGGATCCACAGGGACAGCAGCTGAGATAGCAGCAAACATCTGAAGGAGATGGCTGTAACTTTCCTACAAAACAAAGCAGCTCACCTGGGCCTATAATCAAAGCTCCTCCCTGTTGAGCAGGGTCTCCTTGAAAATCAAAAGCTGGGCCAGTCATTGCTCTCCACATACTCCTAATGCTTCCCAGAAGTACGTTTGATTTCACATGAGGGCTCTGCACTAAACACAACCACAAAATACTTGTTATCTGGAAATACAAAAGTATGTAAGAACAACAATACTGAATAGCTGCTGTGAATATTTTAGAGATTCCTTATTATCAGTATTTTCACAAAATACAGCCTAGGATAGACAGTCTGGTGGGTAACTCCCTATTTACATTATAATAATTCTGTTTTATCAGAGTATTCTTGTTTAGTTCGTGTAAGTCCAAAAAAGATGAGAAAATTCTTCTTACCTGATACACTATTACATTCACCTCTTTTCATGCCAAGCGTTTTATAAATTTCCCTTTGCGGATCTACATACATTTCATGTGTATACCCCGTTAAACTGCAAAAGGGCTGCAAAATACATGTATATAAAAAAAAAGTAGCATTTTTAAGGTTAAGGCAGTAACTAGTTAGGTTCTACTGATAACAGAAAAAATTGTGACACCATGTCACCTCACCCTCCCACCCCTTATCTGAAAACTGTATTTGTCATGTTAAATTCAAGAGCAAAAATTTTTAGCCTCAAAGCTTTTATTAAAACAAAACTTCCAGTGAAATCAAGAAAATATGTTTTCTCAGCAAGCCCTGGTGTTTTTTAAACTGAAAGTTTTAGTTATTTGCTTTATTCATGTTATTAATATTAGAACTGCCTCATGAAGCATAATCCTCTCCATTTCTTTTCAGTAGTTGGAACACACCACCTTTTCACTCAGAGCAAATCCCTCAATACAGACCATTAAGACACAACAGAGGATACACTGTATTTAATAGCCAATTACCTTGATGTGATGATAAGATGACTGTCCAATAACTATAAGCCTCACATTTGCTTCCTAGAACAGAACATGGGTATGGAAACTGTGAAAAGGAACTCAGTATTTCTGAATGCCTTCACAGCATTAGCAGAACCTGGTGTCCTGAGTTAATGATCATAGTGCACTGAGGGAAAATTATTTGAAATTAACATAACTTACATGTTTGCAGACTGCACCTTTGTCTATCACAGACAGTTAGCAGCTACATTAATTTATTAAGTGAAAAAAATTTAAAGATAACTTTTAAGTTACAGACATGTAAACTTTAAGTTTCCTGTACCATTAGTAGCATTGTCTATGCTATCATTTTGGAAATTCAAAATATCCACTCTGTTGCACCTGCATCTAAAGAAGCAGCATGCATATGTTGGTGCACAAATGCCTGTGTCTTGCGCATACAGATGCTCATTAGTAGATGTATCTCGGATCTGCATGTACTGCTGTCTTGCACAGGTGCAACATTAGGCCTGAGTCTAAAACAGAGGCCAAAACTTAAGTTTATTTAGATGCTAGTAAAAACAGTTACTAAAATATAAGGTGGTGTTATTAGGGTATAATACTTGCCTTTCCTACATAGAATAATTTCCTATACAGAACCATTTTGCTTGTTATGAAAAAAGTCCTCCTAAAACCAGAATATTCAACACTAAGAAAAGCATGGAGGGTTTTGATTCTCTGTATACATTTACTTGAGAAGTCGAAATAAGAAAATGTCATTCTAAGTAACACTGAGCAAACAGTTTAGAAATATCTGTCCTAGCAGGGAAGCTGTCAAACAAATTGCCCCTCTTCATCCTCAAGTTCCTAGTCCACCTATGACTTTCTGTCAGCAGTGACCTGAGTCTCAGTCATCAGCTATGCTGCTGTTGGGAATAAAATATGACAGAATTTCAATCAGCAGTCTAGAAGAGACAGATTTACCTTCCACATTTAGAAGGAGATCATTGTCTGTCTGTCTGGTGTTTCCTACCACCCAACAAATACCTGTCCATAACAACTCCTGCCCACTCTACTTCTCCTTTCTGTCACTTCGTCACTCCTGTTTGTGCAGCTGCCTGGAGAACAGGTCGCACTACTGGTACAGCTTACAAATAACCATAGAAAAAGACACTATTTTTAATCCAGATCAATTTTCTGATCTTGTTCCATGCACAACCATCAGTCAGCCCTACCAGAATAATGGAAAGGGCAGTAGTTAGTAGTCAGAAGACAGCTGTCCAAGGCACTACTAATACCAAATGAAATGCTTCTCAGATATTGTCTCACTGTTTAGAACACAGCAGTAAAAAAGAGCATCAAGCTAATAGGGCAGGAAGAAATAATGCTGCTGCAACAGAGCGTGTAGCACCATAAATCCTTTCCTGTGTCTTCCAGGCAGATAGATTATTGCTATTGTAGCAAACAATGAAAATGCTTTTTCTGAGCCATTTTTTTATTCCTAGGAGCCTCATGCAAGCCTGTAGCTGGACATAACAAATCTGCTTGACAGCAGTGACCCTACGTACATATTAAGGGCAGAGTACTTACTTGTAAAAATGCCTTGGGAACTTTTGCCAGGTCTTCTACATACTCCTTACAGGTGTAACACAAAAAATTCTGCAACATAGCCAGTTGGATGTTTCAGAAATAGATATAAAATTGCATAGCAATGAAGCATCAGATTACCGATTTTTGGCACACACCACTTTGGAGGTGATCAGGAACCAGAAATGGGAAAGATTGCAGTTCTTTGCAGACGCCAGATTTGGGTTTCGATACTGTTTCAATCCCAGCCTGAACATGGACACTGGGCCCGGGGCCTTACCCTTAGATATTTTAGGAATGTGATAGCTGGCTTGCCAGCTGGGAAATCAAGGAACTTTATACTTGTTTCCCTAAACAAGCAGTTGAAGAATTCTTTCTTTTCGGGTGAAAAGTGTATCACTTTCACAGTGACCGGGGGTTGGCGTGAGCAGCACCGATCGTTGTACCTTCTTACCCCGCTCCCGCCGCCCGCCCGCAGCTCCCGGAGCCGCTCCCTCCTCACCCGCACGAACACCACGATCGCTTTCTGCTGCCCGTACAGGGCGTGGAAGGGG